AGGGATTATGAACAGAAGACTGTCCAGAAATTTAATGATAATCTTGTAACTACAATACATTTTTTTAAACTAATGAATTAACTAAAACGAAAGGCGGGAAAAATAAGCATATTGGACAGCATAAATATTATGATAACCTCAAACCTAGAGAACTAAAGTCACTAACTAGACAAATTGAGATAGGTTTTAAGCGCCTCAGAACTCCTGAAATGCTTAAACTGCGTAAAGCCTCTCACAGTTCTGTGAGTTGAAATCTTTAGCTCAAATAATTTCACATTTCTCAGTGCATCATCAGGACCTATGCAATGTTGCAAGAGAGCAACTAAAGCAGGGAGAGAATTCTCAAAGTAGCGCAGAGCGGATATGTCACCGGCCACGGTTACCCTAAGATTGTGGTCGGTGCCAGCCCCACTCTACCATCATCCTCCTACTCCCATATGAAGTAGGAGGGTGTCTAAGATGTCAATTATGAAATTATAAGATATAATAACCAGCCCCAAGCTTTTTCTAGTCGTTTATAACAGGTCATGTAGTTTGTGAAAATACGTTTCTCGTTGGATACTATACACATTCAATTCAATTCAATTCAAAGTTTATTCTCTATAAGGATTACAATGCTGAGTTTACAGAAATTTGGTTATTGTTTGGTTTACATGTAGTAAAATTGTGATTACAGAGTGTACCACTAGAACGCTTAGCATGGCTAGGCATTTCGGGCATACTTAGTTTTATTCTTAATTGTAAAATATTACAAATTATGAGGTAAGTTGGTATTATAGCTAAGTAACTAAATACTAGTTTATGAGTTTAGCAATGTGAATGCTTTTGGTTTGGCACAGTATATAGTTTCAGTATTGGAGTATCAAAGGATTCATTATTTTAAGACTGAGATTAATATTTCTGTTTATGGTCAAATGAGTGAGCGAGTGTAAGTGTGAACCATCAGGTGGTATTCGTGTAGTTAGTTGACGGGGTGTATCAGGGAGATAAGATGTTTTCTAATGGTAGTTTTGAAGGTGATGAATGTGTCTGCAGTTCTAGAGTTCTCAGGTAGGGTATTCCAGATTTTAGGGCCTTTGACATACATTGAATTTTTGTAAAGG